GAATAATGCTTTAATAAAGAATTAATAATACTTCATACTTCAATAAGCCTATTTACGATAGTGTGATTAATGAGACATTTGTTGATTAATTATAGAAATATATAATAGGTATATACCATTAATAATGAATCAGCATATTAAATCAATTAAAAAATTAGTGACTCGGGGCAATAGTTGATAGTAACAGTACAATGAATATCCACATAATTGTTGAATGCAGGGACCTATCTCAAGTAATGCATTAAAAATACAAATTATAATTCGGGACAAACAATTATCTTTACATGATATGACTCATGTCATGTGTACATCGTGAAGTCGAGCGGTAAGTAGTACGTACCGTCCCGATTCAATGGATGACGCCGGGACCGTATTGATAATAGTTAATAATGGCACGATGAATTTTACTTTGAAACATCTTACTTGAATCTATTATACTGTGTATGATGTTGGTGATCAGGTATAGAGATTTCAAGACAAACACAAAAACAGCGTGGTGATTAATCCTGGTGTGATTAATCCTGGTGCTTTCTAAGACGGAGTCCACGTCAAGGTAAATAAAACTCGAAAAACTGTTTCAAATGCATGTTTGCATCCATTTTTATATTATTTGAACATCTTACTTGAATTTATTATAATGTGTATGATGATGGTGATCAGGCATTCAGATTTCATGAAAAATATAAAAACAGCGTGGTGTCCCTGTGTATTTTTTGCATACGTATTTGTGACATAGTTTTATGTACTTATTAAAACATTGATACAATCCAAAGTTATCAGTTATTTCAATTGAAACCAGTGTCAGTATAATCTTAGGAAAGCATGGCTAACATAAGCAAGAATTTAGTCCAATGAAACTGTTTATCATCTTGATACAATTGACCCTACCGGCATCACCACGGCGGCCCCACCGATCGAACTAACGTGACGTTGTTATGTGGGTGTTTTTATAGATTATTGAGATTGGTAATATCACCGAAAAAATAGATAAAATGACAGTTGGATGACCAACAAAGACAACTGAAAACAGTAGTTCATCATGAAGTTATTTAGTTGTCGTCCCCGGCGTTGTCAGTGATGTCGTATGATTTGTGTGCGTTTTTTACCAATTAACCCCAAGTAAAAAATAGTTGAGCCATGTAGTACCTTGCAAATTAACCCAGAAACCCGGTAATTTGTTGATTGTATATCCATAGTTACCAACCTGAGAGATTTGAAATGCGTGAGTGACTAAACCAGCAAACCCGGAAGTCGTGGGTTCGATTCAGTTAATTGTTTTGTTTTTTTTTTTTCTTTTTTTTTTTTCCTTCTTTTTAAAGGCAGTTTAGTTGATGGTACATAATGGATAGCAAACCTTGAGGTCGTGGGTTCTATCCCCACACGAACCATTTTTTTTTTTTTTTTTTTTTTTTTTTTAATAATTAGGCAGGCCTAAAAAAGTAAAGGCCAGGGCCTCGACGAGACCTCTGACAATGGCGGAAAGCAACCAAATCTTCGCATTTTCGCGGGCATAATGCTAGACAGGATTGTATATTGAAATCAGTGTTTTGATGGTGATTTTTTTCATCCAATTGGAATTCATATATTTTATAACAGAAGAATCTATAAATATTCAGCTTTCTGTTGGTGGGTGGGGGGGGGGGGGGGGGGGGGGGAACAACAAGATATTTGATTGGTGAGCAGCCGAAATGGCAATTTAAAGCCAACGAAGTCGCTAAAAAGAGGTAAAAATGCAGCCTCTACGCGGTGGAGGTTAGCATGGCACCCTTGTTCGAAAGTGAAAATGACGGTGACTATTTTCAAGCAACAATTGAAAGAAATACTAAAGCAATCAGAAAAGAAAGCACAAAAATCCGACAAGTTGATAAGATGCGACCGTGGAAAGACTAAAAATGACCTAAAAACTGCTAATGTCAGCGTGAAACACTAATTTGCTAGGCTATTCTCGTTCTTAAACGAAAATGTTGCAAGAAGAACCGGCCATGTCGTATTTTTTGGAGCTTTTTTTGATTTGTCAATATGTATGGCTGATAATATTACGTTATTTCTTCAGGTCGAGGTGATTTCACTTTATTTGACCTTATTGAAATTTTCGGAACTTTTCTTTGACATTTTGTGTTACAAGACATTTAAGAAAACGAAAACACTGTAAATAGGCCGTGGGCGGGCCGAGACCTCGAAAAGGCTTTACAGTATTTCATGATTTCCGTAGTACACACCGTGGAATTAGGCCTCTTACTTTTATGTTTCAAATTTTAGATTTTTATAATCATGTTCTTCTTATGTGCGGATCGTCCGTAACACGCGAACTTACTGCTGCGCAATGAACCAACTAAATGTTATATGAATGAAAGCAATTTTAAATACGGGGAAAATACGATTTAATACTCATAAAATGGTGTTATTTGGAAGATTACCCTTGCATTTGGCTCCATTTATCCAGCTAGATGCAGTATCAGGAGCACAAAAAATAGGAATTCCCATGAAACACGGAGTCGTCTTAAACGCCAGACATACAAATATCAACCAAAAATCTTCTAAAACTCCGGGGGGGTCGTCTTATACACGGGTCACCTTATAGGACCTACGTACGCGAGTATACTGTATACGGTATTGCTTATTACAGATCCCTGCGGAAGTTCGGGTTCCCGTCACATAATCAACGGTTGGTTTTAACAATAAATCTCGCAAGACTGCTAGCGACTAGGCCTACTGGATTCTACAAGTGCGTCGTTGGCTGGGTAGTTTTGGTCGGAAAGGAGAAATTTTCTCTGTGAATTGATTCTCTAATGACTCAAGCTACTGTATAACCGTTTTTATATTTTTAATAAAACCAATTTCTTCTAATTTTAAATGCGTTTCCCCTGAATTTGATGCGTGACATTTATGATCTCGCAAGTGTTTCTACAAAATGCGTTTCATCTAAAATCACTTTGAAGTGATGCGTGACGGTTGGTACCGTAACTATGCCATAGATAACTGCCGCGCTGTATGTAAAATTGGTAAAAATGCACCTGTTCGGACATAGAGCCAGAGATTTTAGTGGGGTCTACACAGGCGAAACTCTTAATGCTCATACATTCTGAGATTTTTGAAAACAGAAAAGGTACGGCATTAACGCTCAGAAATATCTAAAAAAATATTTTGTTTAAGAAATTCAAGAATAGGCCTATTGAGAACAAACTATGGTCAAGTCATATATATTTTATCGTTTAGGGCCTATTAGGCATTTAATGAATCTATGATATATTATTATATTGACAACATAAATAGAACATAGGCCTACATAGGCCTAGTTGGAATTTTGTCCAACCCGTCGTGAAAATGTACCGAATACTCAGTGCGTGTGAAAACACTTGTAAATATAGTACTCGCTGCTTACTTGGTCTCGAATTCAACCATGGCCATCAGGTGCAACCTCGGTGGTCTAGAGGCATGAT